TAATTCCTACTGTAACACCTCGGCTGCGCTCACTGCCCAAAAAACCTGGCGGGCCGGATCAGACTCCTCTGCGGGCCGCATGTGGCCCACGGGCCGTAGTTTGAAGACGCCTGAAATTTTTGGAAGAATATACTATGTTAATGAATTGATAGAATCAATATCATTAAAAGGTCCATATTATCCAAAGTAATTTATAGATTCAATGTAATACCCATTAAAATACCAATGGCATATTTCACATATGTAGAACAAACAATTCAAAAATTTATATGGAACCAAAAAAGACCCCGAATAGCCACAGCAATCTTGAGAAAGAAGAACAAAGTAGGAGGGATCACCTTATCAGATATCAAGTTATCCTACAAAGCCACTGTATTCAAGACAACCTGGTACTGGTACAAGAACAGACATATATTATAGATCAATGGAACTTAAAAGAAACCACAGAAATCAACCCAAGCCATTACTTTCAATTAATATTTGACAAATGAGGCAGGTGCATGCAATGGAATTAAGAAAGTCCCTTCAATAAATTGTGCTGGGAAAATTGGATAGATACATGCAAAACAATGAAACTACCAACTTACACCATACACAAGAATAAACTGAAAATGAAAAAAGACTTAAATGTAAGATGTAAACCATAAAAATTCTAGGAAAAAAACCACAGGTAGCAAAATCTCAGACATCTCTTGTAGCAAGGGCCAGGAAAACTAACGAGAAAGGAAACAAATGGGATTACATCAAAATAAAAAGCTTCTGCATAGCAAAAGAAACCATCAACAAAATTAAAAGGGACACCACTGCATAGAAGAACATATTTAACAATGATACATTTGATAAGGGGTTAATTTCCAAAATCTTTAAGAAACCCATACAACTTAAAAAAGGAAGGCAAACAAGCCAATTAAAAAATGGAGAAAGGACTTAAATAGACACTTCTCAAAAGTGTACATACAGCCGAGACCGGTTTGGCTCAAAGGATAGAGTGTCGGCTTGGGGACTGAAGGGTTCCGGGTTAGATTCCAGTCAAAGGCATGTACCTTGGTTGCCGGCATATCCCCAGTAGGGGGTGTGCAAGAGGCAGGTGATCGATGACTCTCTCTCATTGATGTTTCTAACTCTCTATCTCTCTCCCTTCCTCTCTGTACAAAATCAATAAAATATATTTTAAAAAAGTGTACATACAGAAGGCCAAGAGACAAGAAAAAGTGCTCAAAGTCACTAATCATCAGAGAAATGCAAATTAAAATGACAATGAGGTATCACCTCACACCTGTCAGAATGGCTATCATCAGCAAATCAACAAATAAACAAGTTCTGATGAGGATGTGGAGAAAAGGAACACTGCTGGTGGAAATGTAGACTGGTACAGCCACTATGGAAAATAGTGTGGAGTTTCCTCAAAAAATTAAAAGTGGAGCTGTCATTTAACCCAGCGATACCACTTCTATGAATATATCCTAAGAAACTTGAAATACCAATCAGAAAGAATATATGCACCTCTATGTTCATAGCAGAGGGGTGGTTGGAAAGAGGCCTGGTGGTAACTGAATCCTGTGGTAAACCCTCAGTAGCTCTGTCCCCAGTGTTTGTCCAATCCAAGACTTGTTTGAGAGCAAAATACAGCAGTCATTTAAAGGGACATGACTAAAGATACATGTATGTGTGTGCATGTTTATGTGTGTATGCTTATGTGCATACAAGTGGGGGGGAGGGGCACATTCTTAGTTTCCATGTCCCCAACTCAGGTGATAATGACTATGACAAATATCAGTTTAAACATCACCTTTGATTGGGGTTAAGAGTCATTTCCTACCATCTTGTATAAATGTTACCTACCCTGAAAGTGAGACTAAACTCTTGTGCCTAACTTGTTGTTATAGATTTATGGGATTATGGGATTTGGTTATGGGACCTGCTAGGTTTAACTAAAGTTTAGGACTCCTAGGAGACCAGCTATGATTCTCACAAACTTGACCCTTAAAAATGCCATATGCATGTGCTCCTAGCTCCAGAGCACCGAAGTCTTTGTTTGCCCTGACTGCTCCAGTGGCTATGGCAGAGCCTTGGTGTTTGTCTCTTCTGTCCCAAGTCCCCATTGGTTAATTTTGGGGATTTCATTAAAAGACACCCTTCCCCCCAACTCATACAGAACTCAAAAGCTGAAGTGAGCCCTAGCTGGTTTTGTTCAGTGGATAGAGCATTGTTGGGTGTCTGCTTGCATACTGAAGAGACCACAGTTTGATTCTGGTCAAGGCACATGCCTGGGTTGCAGACTCAATTGCCAGTAGTGGGTGTGCGGGAGGCAGCCAATCGATGATTCTCTCTCATCATTGTTGTTTCTATCTCTCTCTTCCTCTCCCTTCCTCTCTGAAATCAATAAAAATATAGATGAATAAAGCTGAAGTGACTTTTCTTTCCTTGGCATGTTGTCCCCTTGTGGACATGAATTCTGCCCATGGAGCACCTCCCTTTGCTGCCCTGAGAAGACGGTGCTGATCCTGAGGTTTCTGGGAGGGGTCGGAATAAGAGTGTCTTCTCACTCTGGGTCAGTGTCCCCCACCCCCTTCCATGCTAAGGTTCAGCTGGCTCTGTCCCCAGCCCTTGCCCTGGAGGAGTAAATGGAAGAAGAGAGTCAGTCCCATGGAGTCAACTAATACTACTTGGACCCTAGTGGCTTCTCAGGCACCATCTCTCTCACTTCCTGCTGAACATGTCCACTGGGAAGTCCCACTGGCATCCTCAACCCAACCTGTCCAAGCTTACCTTGTCACCTGTCTCTACTCATATCCTTTCCAACTAAAAGTCTTGTGTGGTGCCTGTCTCAATTTAACAGTCTCATCACAGACCCATGCTGGAACATCAGTCATTATATATATTGACTCATCACTTCCTCTCTGCTTTTACTGCCACAGTCCAAGATACCAAGTGAGTACAGAGCTTCCCAACAGAGAAACTTGCTACTTCCCAATAGAGCCCTTAAGATGGCCTCCAAATTAGTCTACCTGCTTTTAGCCTCTAACCTCTCCAATCCTTTCCACCCTGTGCTGTAAGAATTGTCTTCCTAGTCTGTCATTCCTCTGCCTTATTAAAAAGTTTTAATGGATCCCCCTTGCTCACAGAGAAAAGTGCAGAAAAGAGTGGTCATGGGTGCTATGAATAGGCTGATCCAAACCACCTTTTTCACTCCCCTGTTTTGCTCCCAATAACACACCCCACCAATGATTTTTTCCACCCTCTAGAGTCTAGAACATGTACTATTATAAAAAATACTGTTCCTGTACCTGGAATGTCCTTTGTTCTTCCACTGATCCTCCTGGCAAAAACCCTTCATCCCTGAGGATCCAACTCAAATTTCCTTCAGTTGTGATGCCTACCTAACTTCCCCAGATACCAGGTCATTCACCATCAGTTCTTCATAACATTGCTATATTTTTCTACTATCACACCCATTGGATCATGAGTATTTATGTGTGCCTTGGCCCTTCCTGCTACATGAAGAAGTCCCCAAAGGCTGCCTGTAATCATATTGGCTTCTCCCTTGTATTTTCAGTGCTCAACACAACACCTGATACACAGTAGATACACAATAAATGTTTTTTGTTTAATTTCTTCTTATAGTCCAGTCTAGTCAAATATGGCAAACTAATCTCAAATATTTGGCTCTAAGCCTTTGTATATGTGTTTCCACACATTTTGATTTCCTATTTCTTTCCTTTTTTTGTTTGTTTTTTCTATAATATTCATCTCAGGTCACTTCTTCCAGGAAGGCTTTTCTGATGAGTTTCACCCAATTCTGCTCCTTTCTTTTGCTTGCCTTCCTTGAACAATTATATTGTTGTAATTTCTCTGGCAGTACCCACTACCGTAATCATGTCTACTACAGCCCTGGGGAAATATCCCCTTACAAAATCTCCCTCCCATGCAAACAGTGAGTCTTTATGAGGGAAATTCCATTTCTAGTTCTTTTTTGGCTTTCACTAACATTGCTCTTTCCGGTTTGTAAACATCTCCCCCAAATGACAAGTAGCCTCTAAGTGACTGACTCATGACTTGAGATCCCACACACAGTGAAGTACATCTTTAGCCTTTATAATACTCCCAAACCCCAGAAATGTTTAGACTCTGAAAAGCAGAATTACCCAACTGTGTTTTAGAGGACAATCTGTTCTTCTAGTGAACTAACACGTATATTACACAAGGAACTGGGTCAAGGGTGGTGACAACATACAAAAAGAATAAGCCACAGTTCCTGACTTGTAAATTCAAGTCAGTGAGACTTCTTTACCTGGAACGACTACAGCATAGTTCCATAAATGGGAGTTCAGTGGGCATGCTTTCAAAGGACAGTATTTGCACGATGGTTAAAAACGTAAGTTCGGGCGTGAAATAGACCTGGATCAAATTCTGGCTCTACAGCTTATAAGCCTTGTAACATTAGCAATGTCATTTATTCTCTCCTAGTCTTAGCTTGCTCATCTGCACAATGGGGATAATAATAGTTCAGACTTCTTAAGGTTGCTGTAAAGATTACATGAGTTAAGTGCTGGCAGAGTCAATGCTTTATAAACGTTAGTGATTATTATTTTTCCCCTCAATCTCTCCCATTTATAAGAGCCATATATTTTGTCTATTGTGCTAAGATGAAATTATTTAGGGAGCCAGGCCTGCAGGTTAACATAATAAACCTTAGGACACTGATGTGCCAGAGGACAAAAGAGGCAATAACGATCAAGAGGACTGGGATGCCAGATTAGGCTAAAGTACCCCACACCTTTATAAATACCAAACATTAAGAAGACTACTCAAATAGCTGTGGGACATGGTGGCAAGAAAAAAACAAACATGTGATTGAGTCAGCTTTCTGGCCCACTTCCACTTCTCTCCTCCCATCATTTCCCACCCCCAATTTTAGCAAGGACCAATCTCAAGCAAGCCCAGCCCAGAGGCAGCAGGTAGTGATAGTAACCTTTAGCTAGAGTGTGCACAGAGCCAAGAAACCTCCACAGCTCTCTCCAGCAAAGGCAGTTCCCAGATGCACCCCTGGAAAGATGTAACATTTGTTCACCATGAATTTTCCAAGTTTACATGGTAAGGATTGATCTTTCCAAATTGCAACATTTTGAATAAACCTGAGTGGGAGACTGAGTCATGAGTTTATTTTGTAATCGATGGACAGATTTTGTCATTTTATTGCTCAATTTCTATCTCTGAGACAATAACAAACTCAATATTTGATTCCTGCGGTGATGACTTTTAATCAACTTTCGGGTTTAACATTCTTCATTCCAATGGGATTACACTAACAAAACTGATTATGTCATTCAATAAGTGGAAAGCAGCTGTTTCCAGATGCTGGCCTGGCCAGCATGTAAAGTAGTGCTGCTGCCATTTTTACCCCTACCTCCATAATGCACACATTTTATTATTGAAAATATCAAACATGTACAAAAGTTAATATTACAAATCTTATGCATTTATTGCACAGTTTTAACAATATTCATTTAACTCATTTTAACGTTCTGTTTCATTTAGCCATTCCTCTCCCTAAATTAAAAAAAAGAGGACTGTTAAAGATTAAAGCAATTCTCAGACATTGTCATTTCACTCACAAATAGATTAATATGTATATCTAGCAGATTAAAGTGGGTTTTTCCAACATAATCATACTTCTAGTTATAAGACAAATAAATTCTGTGGATGTACTATACAGCTTTGTGACTACAGTTAACAATGCTGCATTGTAAATTTGAAAGTTACCAAGAGAATAGAGCTTAAAAGTTCTCATGGTAAGAAAAAAATTGTAACTATGTGAGGTGATGGATGTTAACTAAATTTATTGTGGCTAATTATTGCATTATATATATGTTGAATCATTATGTTGTACACCTTAAACTAATACAGTATTATAAATCAATGATATCTCAATAAGACTGTAAAACAATCATAATACTATACTAATGAACAGTAATTTTCTAATATTAGTTAATACTTGGTCCAATTTTAGTTTTCCCTGATTCACAAGCTCTGCACTGGAAAAGATATTTGAAATGAGGAATTAGAGACTCTATGTGACTTGCCTTGTGCAAGGTCATAGAGCCAGTTAATGAATGAGCTGTGACTAGAATCCAGCTCTCTCAATCCACTTTCAGTGCCCCTCTTGCCTTTCTCATGGTTTTTCTTTGTTTTCTACTCTCCACTACCACCTCTGATTGTCTTTCCTAAATTTCTCCATTTTCAAGAATATATTGTCCTCTAAAACACAGTGGTGACTGAACAGTCACCAGTTTCTATTTTATCATGAAAAAAGCAACAATAAGAAATAAAATCATGATGTTAAAAATAACGATTACTCTATATGTCCTCAACTGAAGACTGACAACAAATCAATGCCAGAGATGATTACTGTCTCAGATGACTTTGGCAACTTCTTATTCATATAGTAAAGCCAATGACATTCCAATGTTTCTGTCTGTACACGTTTGCTCTTCTTCTGAATGCATGGCTTTCAAAACACTTGGGAAATTTGCTAATAGTTGGCCACAATTCCAGTACTATCCTGAAGCAGTGGCACGCCTGGCACATGCAAACAGGTAGTGAGCAGACTAAATGTACTATAGAAGTACATAAAGATTAACAGGTAAAGCTCTTAATAGTAGCTGCTCATTTGGGCTTGCTGGAGGATTGGCAGGTGGTCCTCAAAGGTCAGGACCCATGTTGGAGAATCTGTGAGATTATGGGTGTGCAGAATGTAGAGTACCAGGTGTATATGGAAAGAAGTTTGAATTTTTATGCTAACGCTAAACAAGCAAGTAAATCAACAAACCACCAAGCCAATCCATGTTAAGTAGTTAGCAATGTAAAATAAAGTTTCTATATATTTTCTTTGGATAAATATCTCCATAAAATGTTTGCAAGATTTTAACTTCTGGCCTCAGTCTGGTATTTTACCTGAAAGAAACATACCTTTTATGTTGGTCTGAAACAAAACTTGGGCCAATTGCTTAGAAAGTAGATCCACCACATCATGACCCCTTGAGCCAGACTTTGGGGTGGGCTTCAGACTGCTTGGGTGATGACAGGTAGGGTTTGAGTAATACTTAGGTTCTTGGATTTTTGGTAGCCACTGAAAATCATTGGTTATAGATGCAGAAGGAGAAGGCAAGCTTTTCCCAACTGGTTGGAACATGAAAATTAGACAGCAATAACCTGAAGTTATGTTCAAATAAATTTGGTGTTCTATCATGCCAAGGCCATGGTGTTTTTCAGACCAGTCATTTCCCACCATAATTAGTGAAGTGCTATTTAATTTCATCCTGTCTTGTTATAATGCATAATTAGTGAGAAATGGGGGCTTAAACAGCTTAAGTCATTTACCCCAAATAGTTGTCAATCTCATTGTTATTGGAGTCCAGAACTGATTCTTCATTATTTTTACTATATGAGAATCTCCCGTATGAGAATCTGCCTTAGTTTTCTCATATGTTAAATGAGGTAATGATAGTTCCTCCTTTGTATAATTTATGTGAGGCCTCAATGAGTTAAAATATATAAGCACTAAGTAATATAAGTATTTATTCACTTATTTATATATTCACTTAACAAATATTTGTTTATTACCTCTCATATATGCACACAGGAAGGAGCTAAGCATAAGCACTCTGAGTAATACAAAGGATAAAGACAGGCTACTTCCTTCAAAAAATGTATAATCTCATAAGGAAGACGAGACATACTTTATGAATCTATGTCACAACCTGTGCTAAATGAGAAAAACAGGCAAGCTATAAGAGATCAAGAAAAGATATAACTTCTAGCTAACTTTCCTCTTCTTTAAAACACCTCAGGTTTCACCTCCTCTAGAAATACTTACTTCATTGACACCTTTATCCATTCCATCACTAAGTCCTGATATATCTCTCTCCTCTCTTTCTCCATAATACCCTAGGCACAGTACTCTCATTTATCCTCCATGCTTCACTACATAGTCCATTTCTGTCTCCTCCACTAGACTGTGGTTTAAGAGTAAAAACCATGGCTTATTCATCTCTGTTTTCCTAGGACATTGCATAATGTCTGGCACACAGCAGATTGTTATCTCTGTTAAATGAATAATGTTTTCCTATAATGAAAAGTTTACTGGAAAGAAGGCCATAAAACGTAGGTTCTGGTTTTAATCCTGCTACTAACCTAAACTCTCTGAGCTTTATAAGTCCTGCTACTCATCTGTGATTGATACAAATTGAACAAAATGACCTTCAGGGGTGCTTCTTGTCCTGCTATACTATAGCTATTTCTTCTTCCATGTCATGGGATGTCTGAGGGCTGAGCTATTACTGTATATCTCTTCTCTACAATAAATGTGTATTAAAAATTGCACACCTGTCAGAATGGCTATCATCAACAAATCAATAAACGACAAGTGTGGGTGAAGATGCAGAGAAAAAGGAACCCTGGTGTACTGCTGTTGAGAATGCAGATTGGTGCAGCCACTGTGGAGAACAGTATGGAGTTTCTTCAAAAACTAAAAAAAAACTCCCATTTGACCCAGTAATCCCACTTCTAGGAATATATCCCAAGAAGCTGGAAACATCAATCAATATAGGGGTGCTGCTATGAACATAGGTGTGCAAAGATATATGCACCCCTATGTTCATAGCAGCACCATTTACCATAGCTAAGATTTGGAAACAGCCTAAGTGCCCATAAGCAGATGAGTGGATTAAAAAACTCTGGTACCTCTACACAATGGAATACTATGCTGTGCAAAAAAGAAGGAATTCCTACCATTTGCAACAACATGGATGAAACTGAAGAGCATTGTGCTAAGTGAAATAAGTCAGAGAAAGATAAATATCACATGATCTCACTCATCTATGGGGAATAGTGAACAACATAAACTGATGAACAAAAACAGATCCAGAGACAGGGAAGCATCAATCAGACTGTCAAACCTCAAAGGGAAGGTAGGAAAGGGTGGGGATAGATGGAAGAGATCAACCAGAGGACTTGTATTCATGCATATAAGCCTAACCAATGGACACAGCCAACAGTGGGATGAGGGCATGAGTGGGGTGTTGGAAATGTAATGGGGGTGGTGAGGACACATATGTAATACCTTAAATAACAAAGAAATTAAAATGCAAAAAAAAAAAAAGGGTGGGAGTAAAGGGGAGAGATCAACCAAAGGACTTGTATGCATGCATATAAGCCTAACCAGTGGACACAGACAACAAGGAGGTGAGGGCATGAATGGGGAGGATTTGGGAAGGTAACGGGGAGATTATGACAAATATGTAATACTTTAATCAATAAAGAAATTTTAAAAATAAAAATAAAAGTTGTAGTGGACATACAGATGGCCAAAACTCATGTGGGGGGAAAAACAAAAACAAAACTCAAAGTCAATGATCATCAGAAAGATGTAAAGTAAAATGGTAGTATCACCTCACACTTGCCAAAATGGCAACTGTCAACAAATCAACAAATGACAAGTGTTGGAAAGGTTGTGGAGAAAAGGGAACTCTAGTACACTGCAGGTGAGAGTGCAGACTGGTGCGACAATTATGGAGAACAGTATGGAGTTTTCTCAAAAAATTAAATATGGAATATATCTAAAGAATCCTGAAATACCAACCAGAAGGAATACATGCACCCTAAGTTCATAGCAGCACAATTTACAATAGCTTAGATTTGGAAACAACCCAAGTGTTCATCAGGACAGTTTAAGGGACTTGTGGGACAACATGAAATGTAACAATATTTGCATCATAGGGATACCAGAAGAGAAGAAAGTGAGCAGGGGTATAGAGAACGTGCTTGAAGAAATAATGGCAGAAAACTTTCCTAACCAGGTGAAGGAAAGGAGTCACACAAATTCAGGAGGTATTTCCAAGCAAGAAGACACCAAAGTTGGAGGAAACAAAATTCTAGTAAATGGGATCCAGCAATACATGAGAAAGATCATACACCATTACCAAGTAGGATTTATCTCAGGAATGCAAGGATGGTACAATATCCACAAATCAATAAACATGATACATCACATAAACAACTTGAGAGATAAAATCACATAGTCATATCAATTGATG